CCCATCATAATTTTCACCTATCCAATCTCCTTCATTCTCCTCACATTAATTCCCATCTCCTTTCTGTTCACCAATTTACTAAAGATAATAACTGCTCTCTTCTTTTTACCTCTAAGGATTTTACGATTCGGGACAACCTAACCAATCAAGTCCTTTTCAAGGGCCCTTGTGAGCGTGGCCTGTACTCCATACCGGCATCTAGTTCCTCTCTGGTGGTCAACTCCGTCAAAGTCACTCCGTATCAATGGCATTGTCGTCTTAGTCATCCCTCAGTTCAAGTTACCCAGTCCTTATTGTCTCAATTGGGGTTTAAATTTCAACATCTTGATCATTGTAATTCATGTTCTCTTGCTAAGTCCTATAAACTTCCCTTCCCAGGGTCAGAAACTAAAACATCTGCTCCGTTTGAACTTATTCATTCTGATGTATGGGGACCTACTTCTGTACCCTCTTTTGGGCGATATCATTTTTACATTAATTTTATTGATGATTATACTAAATTCTGTTGGTTGTACCCTCTTAAAAATAAATCTTATGCGTTTGATGCTTTTCAAAGTTTTCAATCCATGGTTCGTACTCAGTTCAATGCGCACCTTAAACTCTTTCGCACAGATAATGGGCGGGAATATGTCAATAAAAAGTTTGGGCTGTTTTTACAAAACTTGGGGATTCTTCACCAAAAATCCTGTCCATATACTCCTGAACAAAATGGTGTTGCTGAAAGAAAGCATCGTCACTTGGTCGAAACTCTTGTCACACTTCTTTGCACCACCAATCTCCCGGTTAAATTTTGGGTCGAGGCGTTGGAGACTGCCAATTTCCTGATAAATCGCATGCCAAAAAGGTCTCTTAATCACCAATCTCCTTTTGAGTCTCTGTTTCAACAAGTCCCAGACTATAGTCTTCTTCGAGTCTTTGGCTGCTTAGCCTACCTGTGTCTACGCCACGAAATCACAAATAAGTTCCAGCCTCGGTCCAAACCGTGTGTCTTTCTTGGGTACGATTCCTCCTCCAAGGGGTATCGCTGTTTTGATATTACCTCCGGTAGCATATACATATCTCGTCATGTTCAGTTCCAAGAAAGTCAATTTCCATACTCCACAGTCTCTTCCCAGACAGAGTCTCAAGTTCCTTCTCCGTCATTCCTTGGTGTCCTTCCCATTTTCCCTCTAGCGTCGCTGGGTACTCCGCCACATGCTCACAGGGCTACACCAGAACATCCAACGCCCAACCTATTCCCCACCCGAAACCCGCCGATCCCACCCCTTACCCA